TCTCCCTTTATGTGTAAAATAGCAATAGAGTATGAATTTCTTTTGGGGGTTGTTAAGAAAACTGTGAAACAGTGTAAAGAAATTGCTTCACTTGAGTGTTAAATAGCTGTTAGTATTTGACAAACATTGGTAGGGTATATATGTGCTACTATACTAGATGGTAAAGTGTTATTATTATTTTTTTAATAAAAAGCACCAGGATAGATACAGTTCTTGCCTTCATGGATCTCAACTGGGCAGGCTGGGCATGTAAACAGATGGTGGTAGCATGAGGCTCTGATAGAGGAAACACAGTATGTTATGAGGCCTGTGGAATGGCCACTTATCCTGGACTTGAAGGTTTTGGCTTCTCAGAGTAAGTTACATAAATATTGATAGAAGAAAGCTGAGTAGGATGGAGCCAAATGATGACAAGGAGGAAGAGCATTTAGAAACAACATGGTAAGTGGTTCAGAGGCAAGAAAGCATTTATTTGAAGCATTCAAGGAATTGAAATGAATTCAACATTATTAAAACTTACCATGCAAATTATCTGTCATGCAAGGATTTAGTAAGACTCTGTCTCAGAATGAAATATAAAATAAGGCTTGGGATGTAGGTCCTTGTAAAAGGACTGGATTCAATCCACAGTATCACAGGAAAAGAAGGCTGGAAATAGTATCCCAGCCTGTTGATCCTTATAAACCAGAGTAGGAAGTGGGAAGGGTATTAGAAAGACAAAAATTTTTATCAAGGAAGTCACTTGGTCAATATGCACTTTATTTTATTTTTCAGATATGCATTTTAAAGATTCCACTAGCTGTTGCTCCTGGGGGTAAGGATGGAGAGGGCAGAATGATTGTTGACACAGAGACTACTTCTATAATTTAATACCTTGCAGAATCTGCTTAGTATCTCCGAGCCCGCAATTTTTTTTGAAACAGGGTTTTTCTATGGGGCTCAGGTTAACCTAGAACTCACAGTGATCTTTCTGCTTCACCTTCCTGAGGGCTGGGATTCCACTCAGCTTGAGACCTCTTTTCTGATTTTTGTGGTTAGCATTTCTCTGGCTCTTTTGTTAGTTATATGGACCTGTAGATTATTTATAATAAAGTGAAGAGTTGATCTCCTGCCACTTTTGTGTCACATTCTATGAGAGTGTTAAAGTCTGCTAGGAATTTTAATTTCAAAACTTTTATTTTGATTATTGCTCTTTTTTGATACCTTTCCCTCACTGTTTCACTGTTCTTTTCTTTTCCCTGCATGTAACCATGGTTCCTTTTGAATTGAGGCTAAATCAAATCTAAGTGACAGACACTATATTCTCTTCCATCTTATTTCCTCTGTCTTTGAAATTATTGATTAGGCTAGACCCACTGGCTTATTTCTCCTTTCATATCACTTCTCTTCCAGAAATTCCTTGCAAACAGATTTCCTGATTGTCCTACCATTTAAGTATAGTTGATAGATATACAGATATGGCTAATCTGATTTATTTTCATTGTGAAAAACATTTGGGCCAGCCCTGTAATCCCAGCACTCAGGAGGCAGAGGCAGGAGAATCACAGCCAGTTCAAGGCAAGCCTGGGCTATGTAGTAAGTTCAAAGTCTCATAAAAAATAAAAAGTTTGCTGTTAAAACTGTTATAAAGTTTTTATGATACCTTGTTATAAATATCTATTAGAAAAATATCTAGTCATTTAGATGGTATTCTATGGTGTAGTATGACTGGTATATAACAAGTGCGTACAGTTATTTGTCTCATTTCCTAACCCAAATTTGGTTAACTTCTCCTTCCACTCTCCCTAGACACTTTTAGTCGTATTCACCACACTGTAGACTAATTATCTATTGGCTGTCTGTCTTTCTTTTCAGAAAGTGAATGTGTCACAGTCTCCCAAATTCTTCCAACAACCCTTCATTTCAGTTCCCTCCTCTTATTACTGCCCTTTCTTCCTAAGGAGTAGTAAAAGCACATTATCTACTTTGTGCTTATGACTCAGTATTTTTTATGGATTTATTCATGTTTGAGAAGCTTTCGTGTCTGCAGAGAAATAACAGCTTTTTCTGGTTTAATGTCTGATTTACTAAATCATATATCTTTTCTTTTCTGTTTTTTTTTCTTTTTTTCTTCCTTTTCTTTTCTTTTTGTTTGGTAGTAGGAATTGAAATCAACTGCTTGCTAGGCAAGTGCTTATGCCACTGAGCTATCAACCGACCTCTAAATCATATTTCTAATACAAAATATTGAAACATATTTGATTAGCTTAATTCCCTTAACCTATTTATCTATTTATTTGTCTTTTTAGACAGGGTCTCACTGTGCAGTTCAGGCTGGCTTTGGGCTCACTTTGTAGTCTAGGCAACAAACTTGCAATGATCCTCCTCCCTCAGATCACTGAGTATTGGGATTGCAGCCATGTTCCATCATGCCTGGCTCCTTAACCAATTTAAACTGCAATTAAAATCACTGTACTTGATACTTTTGAAAAATTCAAATGCCTTAAATACCAGCAGATGATATGCATATGCAAAAGTTATAAAATGATATGCTTATATCTAAATCTATTTAATGCCATAGGCTAAATATTTCCACATTAATTTTTTACTGTTTTTTTAACATATCCTAAGATTATCTATATTTACCTTGCAATCTTCATAAAGTTTTGGTAATACACTGATTATTTTCCGAGATTTCAGAAATCTTATCAATGCTATTAGAAAAAGAAAATTTTGAAGCAGTTGAGGCTACAGAATCTTTGATGTCAACTAATTCTTTCTTGGTTGGGATATATTATCTAGTTTTGCTGCTTCAGTTAACTTACACAGTTAATTTAAAACTTGGTTTTAGAATTAATTTTTACATCATTGTGCCACAGAACTTTGTCTCTTAGGATCTTTCTTTTTTCCTTCTTCTTCATATTCTTTTTCTTCCTCCTCCTCTTTCTCTTCCTTCTTTTGTAGTCCTGGGAATCCAACCCCTGAACCCTTTGCACTGAGTTATCTCCCCAGGAATTTTAATTTTTAAGTTTATTATTATTGTTGTTGTCATTATTATCACTAGTCATTATTATTATTAATTAAACTTGCATCAGTTTGTTTTGGGAGTAAAGCCACTACTTTTGGCAAATAACTTCCTCATTTGAAAGGTAGAAAGAATTTTTTTTTTTTGGTAGAAAGATTTAAAAATTTTAGTAAGCTTTTTATGTGCATATTTTCATTTAGTGTTTTAATTTTCTGGTTTTTAAAATTTCCACAGCCATGTCCTAACAAGTAAATCATAGTTTCATTATTGTATTTACTTAAACAACCAGCATTTGTTATGCCCAAAGGCTATTTAAGAACATTTCAAAAATTCCAAGTATCTTATTTTCTGCAGGAGACTTCCCTATCAGTTGTACTCAGAGCAGGCTGTAAACAGTGCAGGCTGTAAAGCATTAACCTCACAGTTGGCTTGTTTTAAGTAGTGAGCCAGGCAGAAGGCTACTACATGACTTACAAGAGCACTGCGGATGGTGTGCAGAATAGCAGCCCTGCACTGCCAATGGCCACAGCAGAGACCAGAGATAGGGTCCGTGAAGCTGTGGGGCTCTGTGTGCGACAACCTGCAGCAGAGGACAAGTGACTTTTCCCGAACTCCTCTCCCAGAATTTCAGTTTATTTTACTTGAAAAATGAGTTAATCATTAACCGTGACCTGTTTTTGGTGTCTTCTGTTCTTGATGCAAGAATAGTTTGTTCCCTCCTTGGCAAGGCCTGCTTGTGTCAGCTCTTATCCCCAGCAGCCACATGTGGCCTCCTCACCCTGTTCTATAGATTGTACAACCAATAAATACCATGGATGTGGCTGTTTTGGGGGGTATTTACAGTATCACACACTAACCATCCCGGTTCCATGTTTCACTTTTATTTTTTCTCTGAGTTTTTCTTTGTAGCCTTGCATTGTAGCACCAAACAGGAGACTGGGACATTTGCCAGGGCTCTGATAATCTTGCAGTGTTTAAATTATTACTGAACTTGCAGAAAGGGGAAAATGTTTTGATCAACACACTTTGGATAGAGGACTAAAATCTAGACTATATAAAGAACTCAAAAAGAGTAGACCCCCACAAAATAAAAGGCCTAATCAAAAAATGAGCAACAGAGATGAATAAATACTTAACACTGATACTGAAGCACGAATGACCAATAATACACACACAAAAAAAATGTTTCACATCTCTGGTTATTACAGAAATGCAAACTACCAAGTTTCTATTTTACTCCAGGAAGAATGGCTATCATAAAGAAGTTACATAATAATAAATGCTGGTGAGACTGGAGGGAAAAACAAACCCTTATGTTATTGATGAAAATGGAAAGAGGACCAAGAGATAGAGGGAGAAAGAAGAGGAAGAAGGGAAAGAAGATGGAAGAAGTATTAAGGTATGTTATGAATATTCAATGACTTCCTACAATGATTGTAATCGTATATACTTCAAACATGTACTAATGAAAGCTTAGGGAAGGGCTGACAATGTGGTTCAGCAGTAGAGCTCTTGCCTTGCATGCATAAGGCACTGGGTTTGATCCCCAGCACCATAAAAAAATGAAAAAAAAAAAAACGAAATTTAAGGAATAAATGAACTAGAAATAAGTTTATTACTTTCTAGGTATTTCTTTTGTTTGTTTTTTGTCTGTTTATTTTTGAGACAAAGTCTTATGTAGTTCAAGCTGGCCTTGACCTCACTATATAGCCCAGACTAGCCTTGAACTGGTAGTGATCCACTTGCCTCAGCCTCCTGAATGCTAGGATTACAAGTGTGCACTACCTCGGGTACCCTGTGAATTTTTTTATTGCAGGTCTACATCATTCTTCAATTCTGGAAAGTTTTTTCAGTTAGTCCCTTAATTGTTTCAACTTCATTTGCTTTGTTGTTTCAAGTATCCATGTTACATATCTCTATTTTCCTCTTTCTTTCATATCTTCATTTCTTTGGATTTTCCCCTCTGTATTCTGTCAAGAATATCTTTTGTTTTGCTTTACTTCAGAAGTTTTATTTTGTAATTAATTCCTTTTTACATCCTTTAACTGTCACAAGTCCAAGAAATCTTGCATTTTCTCTAATGTCATCTGTATTTTCACTGAGCACATGTCTTTAATACCCTACATTATGAAAGATGTACTTACTTTCTAAGTCTTTTTCTTTTTTTCTTTTCTTTTTTTTTTTTTTGGTCCCAGGAATTGAATTCAGGACCTTGCGCTTGCCAGGCAGGTGTTGTACTTTTTAGCTCTTCTGTGGAGACTGATACATCCATTGTGAGGGGAGGCATTTGCTCAATTATTTGGCTCTGTTCCTTTCCTCTGAATTGTAGTACAGTATCGTAACCTTTCAATGGCTTTTCTTTGCAGTGGGATCCAAATACCTCTTCGCAGTATTCTGAGAAGCAGAAGTTAAAGAATGTCCAAAATAGTTCCTGCTATGTCATGTCTTATTTTTCACTTTGAGAAAGTGTCTTGCTAAATTTCCCAGATACAATGCATACCTTGAATTTGGGATCCTTCTGCCTCAGTTTCCCATAGCCCTGTTATACAAGGTGAGTGTGGCAAATCTAGCTAAGAAAGTGGGTGGGATGTATCAATTATAAGATCCTAGGACTGCACCAAAATAATTTCTAGGGTCCCTTATGTGAAACTTCTCACAGTGAGAGTGAAAGGTATTAAAGAGCACCTTGAGGAGCCCACTACGGTGACTCCTCATGGTAGCCCTGTACTTTTGTCTTTGCTTTTATCCTTTTCTCTCTTTATTTGGCCCAAGCTTGCTCTACAGAGATAGTTCTTCCCTTACCCCTTTTAACTGGCAAGCCATTTCTAAAGAAACTACCCAGCGACAGTGCTAGGATTACAGGTGTGCACTATTACATTTCCCTCTCATCTTTCTTATATGTTTTGATTTCCGAAATTTAATGTCTATCCCAGAAATGATATAAGGTCATAAATTTGCATGATTGGAAGGAAGTTCCAAATCAACTGTTCTAAATCAATTGCCATTACGTAACATTGGTCTCTTTAAAAACTTATGAGTGATTTACCTTTCTCACTCTTAGAATAGTCTGTTGAACTCTTATTTTTACTAGCTTATTATTAATCTGGTGATAGACTCCCTTTCTATCTGGCTATAATCATTTAATGAAACCACTACTGCTGATGGGTCCTTTCTATTTCTAGTACTTTAAAAAAGGATGTTTGTGGCTTACAATTTTTCACCAATTTTTACCTATTTTCTCAACCAAACGTGTAATGCATATATAGAAAGTGTAAGTAAATTATATGTATATGTTAACATCAACCTACCCTTTATAGAAAGAAAAATACTTGTCCTCATACAGAGATACCTGTGTAACTCATTACTAAAGTATATCATATTATATTCACTATTCTCTTGATTAAAGCTATTTTTGTTTACTTCTCTGTCTCTGACTGTCTGTCTCTCTTTCTCTCTTTGTTACAGGGCCTCACTATGTTGTTCGGGCTGATCTTGAACTCACTATACAGCTCTCTCTGTAATCCTCCTGCCTCAGCTTCCAGAGTGCTGTGATTATAGGCACACATCACCACATGCAGCTACTTTTCTCTTTTGTGTATACTTTATTAGTATGAATGGATTCTTTTGTGGATTTGACTTATTCTAATTAAATCTAAGTATAGTGTTTTAAAATAAAATTGTTACACTTGGCCAATGGATGCATCTTTTAAGCTTTGTCTGTTTGGCTCTGATCCTGACATCCTTAAAACATCCTTTCTTTTTTGCTACAACAAAATATTCCAAAGACATACTGATTTTTTTTTTTACTACCCTATGGAATCAGCTATTTTGCAAAAGAGTGCTAAAGGATATTCTAGAGCGAGAGATAAGGATGACCATGGTTCCAGGAACAGCAGCAGAGCAGGTATATACTTGTAGTATATACCAAACAGGACAGGAAAAAATGGAGGGAAACATGAAGGGAAAAAGTGGAGGGCCAACAGCAGAAGGACAGCATGGGAGAGATGAACCAGTGCATGCTGGTTGTAACCATTAATGTAGATGGCCTCAATGTACCAATAAAAAGAAACACAGGGAGAGTGGATCAAGAAACAAGATCCATCAATATACTTCATACAAGAAACACATTTAACTCAAAAGGAAATTCATAGACTGAAAATCAAAGGAGAGAAAACAATTGTTCCATGTGACAGGAGACCAGAAAAAAATCAAGGATAACTTGCGAATCAACTACAGACTGTATAAGAAAGATATGGTATTTTTATATAATGGAAAGCTATCCAGTTATAAATCAGGATAATCTGGAGGCTCTTATAGCTAAATGGATGCAACTGGAGATCATGCTCATGAATGAAATGGTTTGGACTCATATGGATGAACACTGAGTTATCTCATAAAGAACTGAAGGTGTTAATGAAATCCAAAAAGCACAGTAGATATTATGAAGGTGATAGAGGAGGGAACACTAAAAGGGAAAATGTCAATAAATGTTAATTTCCTATTATCTTGATTTGAATTCTTGTATCACTTTCATAATTTTATAAGGTTTGCTTTTATTCTGTCTTGTTTTGTAGATTTTACTGTGTCTGGTGCTACAGGCAGCTATTTTGAAAAAAATGAGAGACATTATGGTAGCCATTGTTGATGTTGTCTTATTTTGAAGTCCTGTATCACTTGCACTGTTCTGTTCTGATTTGCTTTATTCTATTTTGTTTTGTTTTATTCTCTTTTTAAAAAACATTAGGCTTGACTTGTACAAACCTTCCACATATGACCTTTGCTCTTTTTTTCCCCAACCATTGGCTGAGTAAAGTGGACTCTTTGAGCACAGAGGAGCACAAGATGGAAGGAGTCTGGGTCCCTGAGACATTGGCTGATAGACAGCCACCAGACCAAGAACACCAAACTTTGGCTGTTGTGTAAGACAGAAGCAATTTGTAGTATATGAAACCTTTATAATTTAGGAGGTTATTTTAGTTTTTATCTTAACCAGACTAAAAGAATTTTCCAGAAGGTTTGTCTTAGCATTAGCCATGACATGGATCATGCTGTTTTTACCCCTCTTTTAGCTGGTTGTTTTAACCTTTAATTTTGGCTTCTCATCATTCTTCACCAATATCCTTACTGCATATTTTCCTTTTTTTTTTTTTTTTTTTTGGCTTAAAATAACCAGACTTAGTTCTACTGCTTATAATTAAGAACATAGACTCATCCATTAGATAAGAAATTTGTAAGTGATTTGCCCTAGGGCACAAATCCTAAGGGGGAAATTTAGGGTTATAAACCAGGCCATTTATCTCCTGTTTCAGTGTTCTTTCTACTACACTACTGGGAGTTCGAAGGAGGCCCAAAATTAACATTTCTCTTTCCTACTCCTAATTCATTTGAGGAATGAGACATGGGAAATGGCAAATAAAGAATATGTATCATCTTAATTACTGGAAAGGTTAGGCTGACTGGATAATGTGCTTATGTGGCAGGACTGTCTCTGTAGAATTAAGGCAGAGAAAAGCAAAGGAAACTAGTATTCCCTGTTTCCTGTTGAAACTTGCATCCATCTAGACAGAAGAGTTTCAGGCTGAACTTCATGCAATGAACTTATCTTCCAAACTGTCCAGCTGGAAAAGTCAGTACATTACCACGGGAAGAATGAGAAGGTGGACAGAAGTCAGGTCTATAATGCTAGGAATAGATCCTTTACTTAAAAAATGGTAAATGAAGGCTGGGAGTGAAAATCAGTGGTTAAGAGGGTACTTTTAACATGAGTTAGAGTCTAGGTTGGATCCTCAGTATACACAGACAGACACACATATGCACTCACACACACACAGAAGGGAGACGGATAATATTTTGGCTGCTAGAAATACTTTGTTATTGATGACACACTATTCTGTTAATCACTGAGCAAAATCTCCTAATGTTTTACCCATCACAAATAAATGCTCTTAACAACGTATATGTTTCCTTACAAACATACTGAAGTTGAGAGTATCAGTGAGGGTTAAAGTCTTAATCTTACAATATACAGCATTGTTCCTGATACAGTAGTAACCCTCTTGCTTCTTCTTTTTTTTTTTTTTTTCCTCTTTAGCACCCCAGAGTCTTCTCCAGTCAGACGAGGCTGATGTGACCATAGCACCCAAGACTTGCCCTGGGCTCTGGGAATGCTAAAGGACTACTAGGACTACCAGAGAGCAGTTATTAGGAGATCAAGCCCAAAGCAGGGGTCCATAAGTCAGAAGCTGCTCTGTTAGACCAGGTCAATGGCTTTTCAAAATCTTTGATCCAGGTTTATTGTGTAAACTTCCTGGGATCCAGAGTTTACAACTGCCTCTTAAATTACCTCATTGTCCTACAAATTCTCTAGTGAGCCAGCAACAGGGCCCTTCCTTTGCTTCAGGACCTCTACTATATGAGGTTAAAAACAGGGCTGGCCCCATGGACATTTTGAAGGCTCTTGGTTCACTCAATACTGGGCTCCTGTAGTGGCATCTCCTATCCCTCAGCCCTGTCTGAAACTCTGCCTGACTCTGCCCCAGCCTCTGAGAAGTCTAAGTTCTTCCTCTCTGCTATAACCCATATGACTCTTAAGGTTCTTGGGGGTGAAAGACTGCAAGAGGATGAAAAAATAAAGAAGCGAAGGAACTTCTCAACCACTGTAGCATGTTTGTTTATATCCTCCAAAGAAGGAGGTAAATTTCAACCCCACTGCCTGGCTGTTTGTTTGCCTGGTTGGCTTGGGCCCCTTGCCTTCTTGGTGCTGGAACAGCTTGTTTCTGTAGCTTGTTTTGAACTCTGTGTTTTCAGGGCTGGTCTTGCTTTAGTCCCATACATGTGATCAATTTCCAGCTTCAACAGCTCCCTGCACTTTTCCTTTGAATTTCTGTGCTTAGCCAGCTAGAAGAGAATGGGAAACTGAGGACGTAGCACAAGAATGTGTGGGGCAAGGAGGAAGCACAGACTTTGAGTTACCTCTCTCTCTGACTCAATTCAAGAATTTTTCCTTCCTAGGACTTTTCCCTGAAAGATACTTGTAATCATGGATCTATTGTGTCAACTTGAGAAGTTTAGAAGCTTAACTAAGTGACTCAGTGGGGTCCAGTGTCCTCACTTTGTAAACATCCTCATCCTATGCAAGAGGAGGGTGCAGAGATGGTATGAATGCTCTACCTGCCCTGGGGCTGGTAGCCTGCTTACAATATAAGGGAGGAAAAGAGGCATGCTCTCCCCCTCTTTTTTTCCTTGTTACTCTTGTTTTCCACCCCCAAAGACTGTTGTTGCCCCTCTGCCTTGCCACCCAGCTGACAGGGAACTGAAACCTCTACAAACTGTGAGCTAGATAAACCTTTCTGTCCTTAACTTTGGGTGTCTGGTATTTTGTCCCAGCAATGAGAAAAAATTAACCAAGACAATACTTCTTCTCCACCTCAGACCAAGTTAGTCTCTACTACCTCTATTCTTGTTATAGTTTTTATGTTTTTTCTCCCCACTAGAGTATGAATGTTAAGGAGCAAGATCTATCTCATTCATCTATACCTTCAGTGCCCAATGATATTCAATGATTTGAAGCCCAGTGACCAAGAAAAGGAAAGATGGCACCCCAAACTTGAATTATATCAGTAAGAATGAGGACAAGACAGAACGAAAGATAATATCTTCAACGGCTTGACCAGAGTTTATATTCAGAACCTTCCTGATGGCAGAGTCATCCAGTATGGAAAGAGCAGCTGGAGAAGAGTTGACTCCTTGTGTTGAAAATATGCAGACTAAGACTGGAGACTCAGTTTGGAATACTGCCGTAGGGATTCAAGCACTGTACAAGCCTCAGGCCACATAATCTCTGTGGCGCCTTCCAATTCTGTAGCTTGAGATTGAGGATAGGGAGGGGATAGCAGGCTGACCCCAGAGACACACTCAGAAAGTTGCCTCTCTGTCTTTTAGTGGTCAAGACCAGCAGCACAGGTGCCTGCCTGGCAGGTGTGAGGTCCTGAGTTGGATTCCTGATACCAAAAATAAATTAACAATATAGCCTAGTCAAACATCACTCCTTCTATCCCTATGTACATGTAAATGCATGTTTATAGCACTTTAAGTGATCAATCTCCAGCTTCAATGGCTATCTGTACATGTTACAATGAATATTTTTGGTTATTGCATTATCTTTTATTGTACTTCATAATTAGCTGGGCATTCCATTATACCACTGGTTTTATTTCTTTTGTTTATTTGGTAGCTGGGATTGAACTCAGGACTCCACCACTAAGCTACACCCTCTTCCCACTGAACCATTGTTAATGTCATCTGTTGATGTTATGAATGTGGTAGCAACCAACTACCAACTTGTGCTCTACAGATGAGGCAATCTCTAGGATCTTTTTAAAGAATTTAGAGAGTTCTCTGGCTAAATATTGATGTATCTGTTAGGAAATTTTGACAATCTTATCAAAAGAGATATTTTCACTGTATTTAATGTTTTTTTTTTGTTTTGTTTCTTTTCATCTTTTGGTAGTTCCTTGAGGGAGTTGATCAGTTTAGAGGCCCCCACCCAAGGATTGTCTATTTGGAAAGGTCAGTTTCAGTGTTACCCTAATACCTACCTATCAAGAGTTACCTTGGCAAAATCATCTGGAGACAGACCCAGATCACCAATCTTGAGGCCAGGGTAGATAAGGCACTGACTTGGCCTCCAGTGTA